AATAATTAAAAAAAAAAATAAAATCTATGCCTGCTACTTTGAGACAGTAAGTTTCTTGCTTCAACTGACAGAAAAGTAAGTTGAGTGGGGAATGCCAGGAAGCATTTCAGATAATCAGGTGTCTGGTCCAGAGATGCAGATCAGGTAAAATCCTGCAGAAGCCTGACAACAGCAGAGCTGCAGGTGCTTGGTCCTGAAGAGGACCCCACTCAAAGCCCCTGCCCATTCCTTCATGGCAGCCTTCTGTATTTCAGATAAACAGGATTGCATCACCTGAGCTGTGCCAGGCACACAAAGGGAATTTGGGACTATAGACCATCTAAAGCCATTTTTCCATCCTCTTTATTAAATACTGTATTATTTATCTATAGACAGAACCACAGGCCCCGAAAGGAACCAGGATAGAGAGGAGAGGCAAAGTCTGTTGGAAAAGGTCCATAGAGAAGTAGTTGATAAATGCCTTTGTGGCAATAGCTGCCTTATAGCTCACTGTACCCAACTCCTCACTCTCCCCAGATTCCTGGCAGGAACCAGTACCTCCTGGCCCCTCAAAGCCCAGCAGGCAAAACCCATGCACAAGCAGGTTATTCACAGTCTGAGCTCCACACAATGCAACAACCAGTCCAGTAACATTCCCCTGCAAAGTGTGGATTTGTGGGAGGACAAGGAGAGGCATGTTGGCTGTGCCTGTGAGGACAAATGCAATCCCTAAGGTCAAGCAAACCGCATGGGCATGCTGCAAGGGCAAACTGTTCCATTTCACTAGTAAACCAGGAAGAACTGCCAAGGAAACAGGGAAGTCAAAGATTTTGGGTCTCATGTATTCATCATGTGCAAGCCAGGTGCACAGAGCTACCTTGTACCAAGCCCAAAGCTATCTAAATAAAATCCATTTTACAACAATCAATCTACCAGACACCTGTCTGTAAAAACTTGACAAGCCTGGCTCTGAAAGCTTCTCTGAAAGCTTCTCTACTTTACAGACCAGCAGCACAGACATTTGTGACTGTTCTGTGCTGGTCCCACAATCAGGAGCCAAAGGTGTGCTCATGTTTCCTTTGCTCCTTTGGTCAGCTCCCCATTAGCACAGCAGATAAGAACAGTATCTCCCAGGTGAACACAGCGTCAGCCTCCTCACCCCACCTTTCCTCAGATCTCATCAGTGAAACTTGGTCTGTACTTGGAAAGGACACAAAGCAAAAGGCAGTGGTTATCAGCTTGGCTTCTGTGTTGCACAGCCCTAGGTACAAAGCTGATTCAGGGTTACTGGCAGGGTGTTTTGCAAAAGGTAAACAGACTCCTGGCCAAGCTGCAGGACAAGTGTGGACGAGTTTCTGAGCTACCACTGAAACTAGGAGCACTGGGCTGACTCCCACTCTCCTTGGCACACGAGTTAACCTCATGGCTGGCAGGCCTAAGCTCAAACCACCTACACAACTCAAACCAGGCACTTAAGTGGATGACGCTGTTGGGAACACTGATCTTCGTAGTCTTTAATAGGAACCAGGCCAATACGAGGTACAGGCAGTCACACGGTGACTGGGGAAATAGGGAATATCAGCACTTCAAGAGGACTAAATTATAGAAGCAGCTTAAGTGCTTGCAAAATGGCTTAAGAGCAGGTTCACATGGAAAGTGACTGCTGCTTAAGCAATTTAAAGACTAGCCCCTCTCAAACATTGGTCAGCTATGAGCAGCTTAGCGGAGGCAGGTCTCCTGCCAAGGCTGTCAGGATGGCAGCACGCCATGAGAAAGAAACAAGTATCCCCTTGGAGCAGAAAGCCTCACCCCACACACATAGCGCAGATGAGCGTGTGCCATCACGGTCTCTGAACTGCTCTGTCCTCCCCATGAAAGGAGGTTTATCCTTGGCCGGATGTTCCCAGGAAGGGTCTACAAAGCAGAGTTCCTGGAAAGCTGAGTCTGCTTTCAGCAATGAGAAAATGGAGGCTGCGCTGGCAGTCTCAGGGCAGGAGCTACAGCTCTTTTCTTCCTGCCAGTCTCAAAGAGGAAGATTAGCTTCTGTTGTCCCTGCATCCCTGAATATCCCTGCCCTATTTCTTAGGAAGTTTCAAAATGTACAGAAGACAGATAGATGAACCAGCTTCGCTTGGAAGCTTTGGGAGACAAAAAAAGAGAAGCTCCCTTTCTTTTTTTGCAATGCCAGGGTCATCAAGGGTGTGGACACTGGAGGTAATGGCAGGGGCAGATTGAAGCAGCACTCAAACATAAATGATGTGTTATTGCCTATGATGAAGAAACCAAGAAGTGCAGGGTTGTACCTGGCTGTGAACTTGAGGTCCATATCCTTAAAGACACAGTGAAGTATTTCTCTTCATGGAGAGAAAGGTGTCCTTTAGACTACTTAGGGTAGGGTTGTTTTTATCATTATTAGATAAAAGGTATAGCTGCAAAAAGCAAGACTAGAGAGCATGTTACTCTGAAATGCTTTGAAATAAGTCAATAGCTCAGTCCTGGTCTGAAATCCTGTAGTTAGTTCTCATTGCTTCACGTTAAAAGGATACAAAAAGGAAGAGTTAGAGGCATATAAAGGATCCTTAAAAGGCACATACAAGTCTTTGCCTATAGGGCAACAAAAAGATGAAAAATCTCCACAGAAGTCTTGGGCAAGAGGAACATATTTAAGTGTAACTAAAATATTCCAGTTTGAGCTCTGTCCTCAGAATTCAGGAGTTTGTTTTGGATTTAAAGCGCCACCTCAAGAAAAAAGGTCAGTAAGTGGGATTCCCACCTTTAAGTACTGAAGTTTTATGTTACCATGGTTCAGACAGAAGCCATGCAGTAACTTCAAAAAAAGATTACCCAGGTCGCTTCCTGACCAGA